TCGCTAATATATGAATGGTGGGTATACGAGTGTATACCTATAGAAATTTGTGACTTCCTCATACTAATTTTAAGGGTTTGTTTTGGTTCAAACAGAACCGTCGAATCCAGTTCTCAAATATAGTGGACGAATTAATTAATTAATTCAGTGATTCTGAACTTGTTTCAGAAAGAACCAAAACAAGTCTAAAGTAACTAGAGATGGTTCGAATCCGTATAAATCGTATAAATTATACGGTTTAATGTGCTGATACGGGTCATACGAATCATCGGATTTGAAATGATTCTTTCATATAATTCAGTTCAGTTCAAAAACAAAAGTGCTGGTTACTAAATTTTACTTTAACATGATGGTAGAAAAAGATGCGAACACTGGTAGTATATTTTAAATTGAATCAGTATGATAGTACGAAATACTAAACACTATAGACATAAATATTTCGAATATTAGTACGATGTTTAAAAATGTACTGTATTGCATATTTAATTTGTACAAAGATAAGTACGAAATAACGATTCGGTATATAGGTACGAGATACGAATATTATATTTTGAATACGCGAACCATCAATATTACCATCCGCAAGCGTGTCTAGTTCGGCCACTCGAATCTTTAGTATCGAAATACGAATCAGTTGATAGGAATCTTTTTAATTTCGAATCGATACAAATCTCCAAATTGAATCGAATCGCCAACCTCTAAAAGTAATCTAACAGACAGACATCTGAGTTACTGCACGGTAAGTGTGGCGATTACAATGTTGCCAAGTTGTAATCATTGGACACCACTACGCGTCGACGGCTTTAAACATATTTTTATATTAAAAATCTATATCTTTTTACCAAGACAGTCAAAACATTTAATAACTTCTTGATTTACATTACATTAGTGTTTAAAAAATATAGTAAGAACCGTTTTCGAGATATCTTGAAATAAATGCATTGCTTGTGTACATGATAGGCTTCAACAGTATTAATTATGCACATTTTAATTGTTAATATCTCGTTTCACAGACGCTCACAAAAGTTCATGTTTTTTTTTTTTTTTTTAGTTACGTATAAGACACTTTCATTAACTTTATATTACAATTTTTAATAAATTCTCAATAAAAGCCGTTTTACGAGTGAACTACCTTAAATAAAACTTTTTTTCATATTTCTTTTTATTCTATCTTTATCATTGTTTATTTTTATTTCATCTCTATGATATAAAATCTTCAACTTCAATATCTATTTATATATGCGTTAACTTCAATATATTTTCTGACCTTTTTCTTAAATTTCCCAACTGACAATTTTAAAACTCTCTGTCAATCTTCCCAAAATATATTTGACAATTCCATTAATTTTCAATATCCCGCTACCATAGCCGTCACAATACAGGACGAAAAAGATAAGAATATGTCAAATTACGGAATCAATAGTGTTTTAAATTATGTTCTTTTGAGTATTCTCTATCTATATTTCAGCTCCTCCATAATACTACTAATATATTACAATAACATTAAAATGAAAAGTTGGGCGTTCACGTTAATGGTAAGTGCTAACTAATTTATAGAAGATAAGAAGTTATATTATCGTTTTTTGTTTGTTACTTACTGACTTACTATATAATTCCTTTTTTTTCTAAACTTGAGTAACTAACTAGAATTATTTAAAATAGGTAGGATACTCATACTCGATTTTTTCACGAATACTCCCTAAAATTTGTAAAAGTACTCATTTGCTTTGAGTATTATTCTTATAAGTACTCATACTCAGATACTTATGAGTACGTTGTTAAGCTACTCATTGTCAGGTACTCATGAGTACTTTAACGCAGTACTCTGGCCAGCTCTGCTAGCGACCGTATTTATTATGTATTAAACTCAATAATACCTACTGCGACGTAAACTTTTAAATTAAAATTAGATATTAAAAGGACAAATTACTTATTTTAACAGACAAATATAACATAGTACAGCTCAACAAAAGTAGTGTCCCAAGGGTGCGCTGTGTCAAAAGCATCATAAAACGTCAAGAAATTACTTCTTTGCGGATCTTCATAGGGAACATTTTGAGACAAGCATAATCTGTTGCAAAAGATAATTTAGAAACAGTTGATGGAAGAGTGAAGTAGTTTAAAATATATTAAGAAATTTCGGGAGGAAAACAGACTTATTATTTGTAGAGGAGATTACCTGGACGACATGAACTTCAACAATGAATTACCATAAATGGGTACAGGAAAAACTCGTTCCAAATCTTGCAAGTGTTTTAGTCATGGGGAATATAACGAGACCTTGATAAATGGTCGACTATTTTTATTGTTTCTAAATTTTTAGTGTTTTTTGAAATCAATTTGTCGAGCTAAAGCTCTCGGACTCTATTCAGATTATGAATGACAAAATTATGTCGAGACAAATTGCAAAATACACGAATACAATAGAAATAGGCGCTAATTTATTAAGGTCAAGTTATATTTTATGTGATTATTTCTAGAGCCCTACATGTAACTTAAATTAATAAATACACAATAAAATAATGTCTATTTTCGGTTCATTTTTAAACGTTCCACGCGATATTAGCTTGTACTCTAACAATAAATATATTTAACAGTAGCCGTTATTAAATATTATACCTGTAATCAAGTAAGCGAGTTGCTGTCAACATAGGTGAATATCAAGTACCATGCATGGATAGTTGATTTGAAATAGTCAGTGAAAATAATTGATTTATTTGGTTCTAATTGGTTTTAACGATAACGTAAATTGCTATGTGATTGGTTAAAATGCCAAGGTTGACAGGAGAGGGAATTAATCATTGATAACGCCCCTTATGGAGAGATCGTCAACAACTGGAATTAGGAAGCATGAAATACCAGACTGATGTTTCTTTTTGTGAGTCACAAAGCCAGAATAAAAATAGCTATACATGCAACAGTTTGCAATAGATATCACACTGCAGCAAAACGGGCACAATGATTAATAAAGTTTTTTTAAATAATTCTGTAGACTTATTTTACATGCTTCACCTATTTAGATATAAATGATTAAATAAAAAGTAGTAATTCATCTCTATTTGAATCATTGCTGTGATTAGAAAATTCAAATAAATGAGGTTGTTTTCTTAAATTATTAACAAATTAAATATTCATTAATATTTTTCTGCAAAACATTTATGAAATCGATTGAAAAACATGTAAAGAATGTCAGTTTACCACGATTAAATTAAATAACAAAAAACAAAAGGGTATCCACCTTCTCAAATGTGGTCAATGTAGTAACAAAATAAATACACAACCATCTGGCCTACAAACAATAGAAAGATATAAATGAAACAAAAGTAATAGATAACAGCCTACCTCATTAGATGAAGAAGTAAATATAAAAAAATCAGCAAAATATCTCGATGTCGAGGGAAGCAAAGGAAGAGTACAAGGGGATTAGGAAGTAAAGTTAAAGAAAAAGAGGGATAGGAAACACCTGATAGGTAAGGATCATTTGGTGGCCGAATCTTCTCCAGGTGTTTTGTTTAATTCAAATCTTTCTATTGTCTGTAGGCATGATGGTAGCTAATTAGCCGAAAGAGTTTGCCGTTTCAATTCAATAATAAATTTTATGTAGTATATGATTTTGTGTAGATATTTATTTTGTTAATTAAATAATAGTTCATGAAATATCGCCCAACTATATTTGAATTATTTATTAAATTTATTTTTTTACTTATTTATGCAGTACAAAAAATTAATTTCTAAATAGTACAGCATATCTAACCCAACACAAACAATTGTATCAGGTAGTTATAGTGCGAGTAAAATTTATGACAGTTCTTGCACAAGTGATCCAAAAATGCACTTTGTAATTGTTTCTGTCTTTTTACATACAAATGTGATGTGTGCCTTGTTCGTCAGGTAGGAACCAATAGTTGAACTCTTTCTATTAGTGGCCTGCACTTGATAGAACCGCCTATTAATTTTGACAAGAATAGGAGTAAAGCCTGTTTTCTCCTGCATTCTACAAAGTAATAACATTGTTTGATAACATGTGTTATGGCTATGGAATCGGTGGCTAAAGAGCAGGTATTTTATGAATTTACGTTGCACCTTTTCAATTCTATTGATATGATAAGTGTAAGTATGTTGCCAAATAACAGAACAATATTCCAGGACACTTCTTACCAGGACATTGTATGTCTATTGATGAAGCCTAGCATTCTGAGGTCTTTGCATACTATGGAATCTATGTGGATGTTAAAAGGTATATTAAAGCTAAAATAATTCAACCTATTTTATTGCAACTGAACACCAAAAATGTTCAATAAATTCCAAAACCTAGTTAATTTTAAGTTGAATGTGGCTAAAGGGCTACACCGGCTTGGCATTTTACGTTATTATAGCGCACAAGTGCTTACACCTGGCTTATTAATATATTTATTGACTGTCGAATGAATGTTGACATCATGAATATTATATTTTATCAATAAATAGCTGCATCTCCTGTTATCTCTTACGCTTGCTTACTTATGTGACACATTGCTTAGACAATTTATTTTAAAGCAATTACTGTTGAGCTTTACAGATCGACAGTAATAACAAAAGCCAAGAGATGCACCAACAGTAAACATGACACAGAGAATGAAAGTATAGCATATATACAGCCATGCATATGACCTTGCCAGCATCCACTCTTTCTGTCAGATTGTATATATACTTAATTTTAAGACATGAATAAATAACATTCTCCTGTATATACAGAATTATCAACATACATGTGGTTTTATTGAAAATTTGGAGTGGGAGAGTGTGACAAGTGATAAAAATCAACTTTACTAAACTTAGTCAAGAAACCAGTCCCTATTTATAATTGTTATGTTCTTTGCATGCCTTATTATTCCTCAGCAACACTTTATCTGAGGCACTGTAAATTATAATGGTTTTAATTAATAATTGTAGATTTGCTGGGAAATACAGAACATATTACTAATAAAGGTTTAAAATAGTATCAATAAATCGTAACTTACTTTTAAAATCTCCTGATCAGGTACAGTTACTAACTCTGCTTGTGACCTAACTGACACTATTTCTTCACCATTTTGCTCAAAATATACAATGTGATGTGATATATTATCAATGGAAATAGTAGGAAATTCAATCATTAAATACAAATATTCAGAGAATCTTTTTTCCTTTTCATTAACCATCTCTAGTTCTCTGAATGTCAATCTATCTAACCAATCAACCTACAAAAATTCAAAGTAAAAAATAACAATAATAAAAGTAATTTGTAAGGTAGAAACCTTTGTAATGTATCCATTTCTATGTTTTTTAGCTAATTTGGCTAGCCTCTGCATTTGCTCTTTGCCATTTTTTGTTTTCCCTGGGGTGAGCGTTGGAAAGTTCCCATCTGCTTCTCTGTTTGGCCATACACGCAAGTCCAACATACCCTAAATAATAATTACATTTAAAGTACTGCAGTAGTTTTGATTTCATTCCATTAAAAAATTATCTTATCATACTTCATATTAATTTAATTTTCAATTTTTATTGCAAGTGCTTTTTTATGTGTTTACCTGTCTAAATAATCCATGCTTGCTAAAAAGAGATATTGTTGTACCACCAACTGGACCAAGTCTGTTGGGCCCATAGCAGTCATAAATAGTTAAAGCCAGTTGAGCTGTTCTAGGTAAATCATTAAACTGGACAGGCAAAGTTAACCATTCATTCCAACTTAAAACCAAAAATATATTTTTTTCAATTTTGTTTCAAAAACATCTAATTAAGTAAATACATGTTATTTGTTGATGAACAACTAAAAAAACAAAATTGTTTTTAAAGAGCCGATTCCAAAAGTTGAATTAAAATAATCATTTAAACTACAAACTACAAGTGGGATTGCCACATATAATTTTCTTCTCCAGTCACTGCCATTTCAATCTCAACTCCCATTTTCTTTATAACAAGAATAACGTAAATCGATATGTCTTCCTTAACCTGTTAAGTATTATACCAAATTGTATAGTAATAACATTCATTTTCATATATGGCTGGATATCTCCCATAATTTCATCTAATGGGCATACAATGAAAGCCTTTCAATTAATTTATTTCTCACATTTATTTTGACAATATTATAAATGTTCTTCACATTCAAAGCCTATGAAATCGGCTCAACATATTTTAGTAAAACAATAATTAAAGACTCTTTTGGTTTGTGTTAGTTTTAAATTCTGTTCGAAGGAGGTACTTTCTACACATGATGTTTGGTCTTTAACATATATAAAATGTACTTCAAAGTGTTAAGTTTATATAGAAGGGTTCTTAATTTCGAATATTTCAATGCCTATAAAAGTATTTTTAAACTCGGCTCATCGAGACCTTTCACAAGGTATACTACACCATGTATTAGTGACATCACAATAAAAGTAAGCCAGAAAAATAAAACTATGTTCAATAAACTTATGAAGTAAACACACCATGTGCATATTTATAGTATTTTTAACTTTCATGTTAAATTCACTTAAATTTATATGAGATCATAGAAATGTTGGAAGTGAGAAAGCCTTGCTAGATTGAGGTTTCTAACATTTCTAACTACATGCGGGAGCCATTGTCAAAGCTACTAAGTCTAATAAAAAAGACCAAGCTAGACGACATACTCTAAAAAATGGAGTCCCACAATAGATCTGAAAAGGTCCTGGTGGACAAGGACACATAATGTCAAACTCCTTTTAAATCAATCTAATCTGGAGATATATGACACTATATCATAGAAATCAACAATTTATGCAAATAAAAAAAAAATAAGTTTTATTAGTTAGATTAGTAAACAATACATAAATATTGTGACAACTGAATTTCTTGTCGAAATATAATAATATGGTGCACAAAGTGTACAACATTCAATCTGCTCTACTGAAAAGTTGACTAGAATGACATAGTGTAGTTTACTTCTAAAATGTTTTTATTAAAACTAAATTATTTTCATACTTCCATCTTTGGGTGAATGCCTTATATGATGTTGTTACAGGCAAAGTCAATTGCTGGTTGTTATCGAATATTTGGCAAACTACAACTAAATCAGCACAATTATCCTGGTAGAGCCCCGAATATTTTAACATAGGATCTTCCAATATTTTATTATAATCTGGTTTTTGTCGTTTTCCCTCCAATGTTCCACTAAAAATACAAACTTTTTAATTTGACTTTTATTGTTCTAGACACAAATAATACGAAAGTCTTACATTTTAATCTGAATTTTATCAGAAATTGAAGAACTGTAAACATAATGAAATTTATCATTTAACTCCTCCATATTTGTTTTGAATAACAACTTGACATTTGACAAATTGATGCCGTCAAAACCAATGAACTGGAGTGGAGTAGAAAGCTAATGTGCATATTTTATCAATTGAACAAGATGCGACTCTATGGGCGCAGCCATTTTTATTTCTCATCTCACTCGGGAGTATTTATAATAACCATTTTCTGTTTCACATTGTTATTGTTCAATCCACAGGCTGGTGGATCAGACAATAACAAAGTGAAATAGAAAATGGTCGTTATAAATACTCCTGAGTGAGATGAAAAATAACCTGTCTTCGCCCATAGAGTCGCATCTCAAGCCTATTGACAAGCATTCTACCCCACTCCAGTTCATTGGTCAAAACTGGATGAAAGTCAAATGTCAAATCAGAACAGGGATTCTTAGGCCGAATAGCCCTGGCAGCTGAGGCCTACAAAAAATGAAAAGAAGAAGAAGAAGTACAGGGATTGTTATGTGCGAACTCAACACGTAACGAATCAAATAGAGAGAGACATTACATACGAATTGCATTCTGTGGAACGAAGATAGTCGTCTCAACACGTGCCGCAATGCAGATCAAGAACAAGTGCGATCGGTTATTCAAGGGTTCGGAGCGGAAAGGGAGTAGACAAAATAGTGTACGTAAAATCAAAATATGTAAAAATATACAGGATGTCCTATTTAAAAAACCAAATTTGGAGTATTTCACCGACAAAAACGAGTTTTAAAAATATTTTTTTTGAATTTTGAGATATAAAGTGATATCTTTTTGTAATAGCAGCAAGTGTCAAAACCTTCGAGCACATACGCTCGAAGATCAAAACTATCCATTATGAAACTGGTTGCAAAAAATTTATTATGTCACCAGTTGTGAAAAGAAAAGTAAAAATCCTGTTTTGGTTTTAAAACCAATTTAAAAGTTTATATCGAAGGGAATAGTAATAATTCTTTTCTATCCTAAATATGCTCAAAATAATTTAAAAACACTGATCCACTCTTATTAATACACGACAAAATAACTCTTTCACATCGGATGCATCTGAGATGTAGTAAATCTTTGATCACGTGATTCAATATAGGTAAATGTAAAGGGACAGATGTGTCCGATGTGGATAAAAAAACGCTCGAGATGTAAAAAATGAATCCGATGTGGATTCTCAAACGCGGCATATGTAAGCTATTATTGCCGCGTTTGAGAATCCACATCGGATGCATTTTTTACATCTCGAGCGTTTTTTATCCACATCGGACACATCTGTCCCATTACATTTGCTGCGTTTGAGAATCCACATCGGATGCATCTGAGATGTAAAAAATCTTTGATCACGTGGTTCAGTACCTATACGTAAATGTAATGGGACAGATGTGTCCGATGTGGATAAAAAAACGCTCGAGATGTAAAAAATGCATCCGATGTGGATTCTCAAACGCGGCATATATAAAATGCCTCTTCTCTACAATTTTCCAAATATTCTTTTTATAAAATCTTTGAATGAAAGTACGAAAAATTAATGGTTAGTCATTTTTTAAAATTAGAAAAAAAATTATACCTATACGTTACGAAATGCTTTTTTGTGTAACTCGTTCATGTAGCAGGATCTCACTCTGCGTGTCCCGCAAATATTCACTAACTACATAAAATAAGGCAGTTTGTAACTGGTTGCATAAAAAAAAACAATTCCAAAAATGAAGAGTAATTTACTCATGAATCCCATTATCAGATCTTGACCAAATTTATGAGCTGAGGAATTTTCTTTATAACAAAAAAAGAATTTCGCTTTAATGAATTGAGAAACTCCTTTTTTACTTTCCTATCTGTATACAGATAAGGAAAGTATAAGAATCATGATTTTTTTTGACTTCGAGTTTTCGACGGTTTTTTTCGTTTTGGGTCCCCTGAATCTGTTTTGACTATTTTCGCGATGTTGTCTGTATCCTCGATAACTCATGAACGGATACAAAGAAAAACACAAAATTTTAAACTTAAGCCTTATTTCGGCCTCCTGTGAACTGATTAGATTTTGGGCAAAGTCGAAACATCTGGGGGGGGGGGGGTACTTTAGAGGTGGTCATTTTTATATTTTATGGAATATATTTGTTATTTTACGTTTGGAGAAGAAAATTCTTCAAATAAAAGTTACTTACAATATTATTATCTATAATTTTCTTTTTATACAAAATTTACCGTATTTGACAAAATGTAAAAAAAATATTTTTTTTATACAAATAGTTCAAATAAAAGTTGTTTGTAATATAATTTTGTCCAATACATACTTTCTCTAAAATGGACCGTATTCGAGATAATATGTAAATTTTGAAGAAAACTCAAAAACGGATAAAGGAAAACATAAAATTTTAAACTTATTTTATTTCGGCCTGAAATAATTAGATTTTGGACAAAGTCGGAACATCTGGGGGATACTTTATGGGAGGCCATTTTTTATATTTTATGGAATATATCTGTTATTTACGTATGGGATAGAAAATTCTTTGAATAAAAGTTACTTATAATATTATTCTCTATAATTTTTGTTCAATACAAAATTTTCCTAAAATGAACCGTATTCGAGAAATTTGACAAAATGTAAAAAAAATATTTTTTTATAAAAGTTGTTTGTAATATAATTCTCTATAATTTTTATTCTATACATAATTTCTCTAAAATGGACCGTATTCGAGATATTTGAGAAAATGTGTAAATTACGAATTTTGAAACCTCAAAAACGGATAAAGAAAAAAATCATTAAATTTTAAAATTAAGTTTTATTTCGGCCTGAGGTGAACTTATTAGATTTTGGACGAAGTCTGAACATCTAGGGGGTACTTTATAGGAGGTCGTTTTTATATTTTATGGAAAATATGTTATTTATGTTTGGAGAAGAAAATAAAAGTTGTTTGCGATATCGATCTCTATAATTTTTGTTTTTTACATGATTTTTCTAGAATGGACCTTAATTGAAAAATTGGAGGAAAAGTGCTATAAATTTAAATTTTTCAGTATTTTTGTTTTCAATGAATATCTATAGAAAAATGTTACAAGTTAGTTGTATGTGGAAAATGTATATATTTAGTTTATCCTCTAAACATTTATAGAGGTGCTGCAATAGGTTGTACAAAATAACCGGAAAAAGCCTAGAACTAGATAGGAAAGTCACATCAGATTTTTTAAAGTTAATTAAAAATAGATTTATGGACAAAATGATTCGACACAACAGTGGAGTTATCCCAAAAACATTTGGAAGACTGATTTATTCTAATTTTGGCTACGAGTTGAAAAAATTAAGTAAAAACCTGTACATAATTGTCTTAATACATAAAAATATATCAAATAAAAAGCAATTGGTGTAGGTTCATAGATGTTTGTTATACATATTTTACATAAATAGACTGAAATATATACACCAATAATTGTTTTACATACTTTATTTAATAAATAACTATTTCACATTTTCATTTGAAAATGAACCAATAAGTTTTTTAATTTCTTCATTCTGTCTTACTGTATCAACACCTTTAGATGTCCATTTATAAGTGTTATTAGGCAAATCGGCTATGAATTTGAAAGTGATTAATACACCTTTGTTCCAACTCTCTTTAACAATTGAAGATACTACATTCCTTTCTGGTAGTTTGGGTAACTGAAAAGAACAATAATATTCTTGTTTAAAACTGTTAACTAGGTAAAAATTGAGATGTTTGTTTAATGTATAGAAATTAGGGAGAGTATTATTACCTCAATGGGAAGTTGAGAGGTTGCTTTCTCGACATAAGGAACAGCAGTTTCTTTTAATTTTTGGTATATTTTTTCAGACTCACAGCTGCTTTTCCATATACCTTCCTCCTTAACATAATAAAAAGCTGCTGACGCCAAACCAATTTTAACAGCAAACCTAAAAGCAATGCTTATTTAAAAAAAAAGTTATGTAAGTGCAAAGAGGTTAGTCCTACAATCCCAAGTTATAATAGAAAGGATTTAAATATTTAGGATAAGACATTATTTTCAAGAGTTCGAATACCATTTAAATTTTTAAGATTATGACATATTAATTATTTTACCTACTTGATCATTTTTTATTTTTTACTATTTTCATGTTTTCATAAATTTTCCTTTGACTTCAAACTTCAACAGTCAGTGTCAACTGTCACGACTGTTACGTGTTCCATAGAAAAACTATGTGTTCTCTCGGTGGTCACCGGAGTGCGTTTAGAAACCTCGCACGACGCGTCTGACCTCAGTGGTCTGACCGCATCCAGACGCGTCGTGAGTGGGTTCTAAACGCACTTCAGTACTCCAAGGAAAATCGGGATTATGGGCCGATTCCACCGTTGTGTTAAACGAAGATTAAAATCACATATTGTTGATGTAAAAATGTCATTTTAATCTTGATCTTCGTTTAGTAATTTAAATTTCGTTTAACACAACAGTGGAATCGGCTCTAAAGGCCGATTCCACCATTGTGTTAAACTGAGATTAAAATGATATTGTTAATGTAAAAATGTAATTTGAAACTTCGTTTAACACAACGGTGGAATCGGCCCTAAAAGACCTATAACTTGTTTCATAAATATGTTTTAATTTTCAATTTTATAAATTTGCTTTTTTTCTGTTCTCTTGTCTGGCTCGTTTTCTGTTTGTAAACAAAAATCGAAAATACGTCAGTGATCAAATTTGCTTATAGGTGCACTCTCAGTTTATACATTTGTGGAATAATTCTTTTTCCCATCCTCTTATGACCCTACCTACGTCACTGGAGACCGGAAACAACATTTTTCCATATGCAAGTACCACATTAGTCCCAATAGTAGTCTACTTTAAAAGTGGCTGTTTGACCTGACATCTTTATACTTGTCAAGAAGATAGTTTATTTCCTTTTTAGATTCTTTTATTTTTTTAAGTTGGTCATAAGAATAGATGTAGGTAAATTATGGCGGACGAAAAAGATGTGGTCGAAAAAACTATTGCGGAGGACTTGGTGGTCACCAAGTATAAAATGGCAGGAGAAATTGTTAACAGTGAGTTAAAACATTTGTACTTTCATATTTTCATTTCTTGCTAGTTTTTATGTTACTTTAAACGACTTTGCAATATGAAGCCATATGGAGCTTGGTTCCCGGTACTGAAAACCACATGGTTCCGATTTGTTCATATGATAATAAAGAAGTTAAACACAAACTATTTGGCCTATGTTGGTTTTATTTGCGAATAACTAACTTCAAGTATACTTTAGCCATTATTGAACAATTTTAATATGTTTGGTTAATGTTCTTTGTTTAGAAAATTTCTAAATTCCCAAGTAGACAAATATTATGGTTTTTAGGAGTACTAAAGCAAGTTATCGATAAATGTGTACCTGGTACATCAGTTAGGGAGATCTGCGAGTATGGTGACCAATTATTAACTGATGAAACTACCAAAGTTTTCAAAAAGGAAAAGGAGCTAAAGAAGGGTATAGCTTTTCCAACTTGCGTTTCAGTAAACAACTGTATATGCCACTTTTCACCCGTTCCTAGCGAACCAGACTACACTCTTAAAAATGAGGATGTTGCTAAAGTGTAAGTAGCTACTATATTAGATTATGTTAACCTTAAACATAAAAGAATTGATATCTTGAGCCATTCAAAAAACAACTGAGACACCCTTTTTCTTTTAATTGCCACTAATTTTGTATCTTGTGGTTTTTCCACTTTATTGATGTTTGTTATTCCATTTTACTTCCATGTTAATTTTAACTTATTTTTTAACAAAAAATATGTTTGTATTTTGTATTAACCAGGGCAAAGGTAAAACATATCAGAATCATTAAAATATGCAAATTACTGACTCCTTCAAGATATAAATGTTTCCTGAGGTATTTAAGTTGGCATTTATCATTTTATATGTAATATAGGATAAAGAAGTGATGTGGTGATCGGTGATCTACAGGCATGTGTCACTACTTTCATCAGTTGCTTAGCTCTTTGAATACCTTATGTTTAATTGTCCTATATCATTCCTGGAACAATTCCTAATTTTATACAAATTTTAAATTTTTAAAAACAGTAGGAGCTATGTTGTAATTCAATAGACATATTAAAAGATTTTTGCATGGTTCATCTCTTATTTTTATAATAGTAAACATGTAAACAATAAGATTAGGTTTTAAAGGAACACATAGAATTTAGATTGCATATTCACAATAGGAGTTCCACAAAGATCAATATTAGGTCATTTATCATGTATGCAAACATTGTACCCTATTTTATTGGTAGTTCCAAACTTGTCATCTATATTGACAATGCTAATAACTGGTCAGTACCGCTTAGATATTACAAAATGTCATAACAGTTTATTGCTGAATAATTCTAATATAACTTTTGTCAAAACTTTACAGAAAGACTTTGACAATGCAAAGGTTCATGACAGAAGTTTAAAACAATCTGAAATGGTGGAATACTTGGAAATTTTCGATAAAAATTCCATATTATAAGCTTTTTAGAGTTGTTTAATGATAATATTTGATTTTACATTAATATTTTTAAAATTATGTATGTTGAAACCAGGGTTCGGAGGATATATATCAAGTGATATATATCATGATATTTATACCTTGATATATATCCGATATATTCGATAATTTTATTTATTGAATTAAAAATGTTTTCTACCATTCTGAACATCTGAAAATGTCTCAATACGCCCCTGTATAAAAGTATAATAACTAGCAATTTATGGGGGTTATGATTGACAACCTGTGTTATTTTTAACAGGTCTGTTATTTTATAAACACACAGAAATTACAACCTGTTCACAAATAACGTGTCTGTTAAAAATAACATTACTTGTCAATCATAACCCCTTATATGTGTTTGTGTTAAAATATTAATGTTAACAAAATAATGTTAAAATCGGTTTATTTTATTAATTATTTTAGTTTTTTCTTCTTAACTTGAGTTAGAATAAATGGTTTTGTTATTTAGAATATAGGTTTTTGTTAGTATGTTTGTGTTAAAATTTAAAATATAGTTTGGGCAAGAAACAGTACTGTTTTTTAAATTTTAAAAATGATATATATCAGATATATATCATGTGATATGATATTTAAATAAATATCATGATATTTTCGAACCCTGGTTGAAACTGTGATAGTTCTTAGATATAAAGCAACCTAATTCTTCTGCTCGCTTTGCTTTACTGTTTATATGCATCTGTGCTTTTTTCTTTTTTCACACATCCTTTCCATTTTTTATATGACAATGGTGTTTTCCATTTTTGATATGGTATTACTGTTATTAATATGAAATAATTATTAGTTTATTAGAAATTACACAATTTTTAATTTGTTTCTTCAAATAATAAATGATTGGTTATGAATAATACAACCAAATGGCCATCGACCCATGTCCTTCAGCCAAAGTTTCTTCAAATTTAATGAAAAATATGTAAAATAAACAGGTAAGAATATTTATGCAACTTGTAATACCTGAAATTGGACCAATAATCAATAAAAAAAGCAGGGGTCTCCCCCATTCAACAGGCTTTACCTTTATGATGTTTTATGTTTAGCCAGTTCATAATATTTAGTTTAATCCGTTGATTTTTTTAGACTTATTTCCAATATACAAAGTTTATGATAAATGGCCCAATATACATTTAATCTACTGTGTTCAGCATTGGTTTGTTGAAACTGGAATACTACCCTTTGTATAGTATGTAGCAAATTTAACTTATTTGAATTTTAGTGGACTTAATAGGGAAATAAAGGAATCCGAATTTACCTCTATTAAAATTGCAGTATATTTAAAGTTAAAATCACTAATAAATTAATAAAGTTGTTACTATGATATATGTTTGTATGTTTATAAACAGAAGGGATGTATCATCCCTAATAAAAAGGTCTAAACTGCTTTTTCAATGGTTTAATTCACGATCAAATATTCTTAAATACAATGTTGCTGTGTTATTGTCACTGTCTATTCGCGTACTGCCTACTGCGCTGGTCTTCCTTCTCCCACTCGTCCATCCTGACACACATTTGTATGGACTTTGAGAATGTGTGGTGGGGAGCAAAGGCACACCGATAACATGTTTATGTTATTAAATATACAGCATTTAACAATCCCATACCCCATGCAATCAAATTAATATCACCAGTTGGCTAAAAGTAAAATGAATAACTTCAGCAGTAACCCCAAAACAATGCCATTTATGTATTTGATAGAACTGACAACTTAGAAATCTTAGTATAAAAACAAGTCAGTAAAAGCCGGACATTTCAATCAAATTTCTTGTGTTACTAGGTAATGCAAGATATAGGTATTGCCGAAGACTTTATAAAGGACCATAAAGGCTTAGTTTTGGCATTTTAGCTTTTATAGCCCAAGGTGTATCAATTATTAAAAAAAAAACTTAAATTGATCTGTACAAGTAAAAATACACTATGTTCCCTAATGTACAGTGTTCCAGTGTTGCTAGGATCAAACGGTGACAATCCCCATTCAAAAATTAGAGATTACCTGCAGTCACCAATTAAATGCAATAGTGATTATTGAAGTGATAAAATTTTTTTAAAACATAACTTGGCAAAGTGCTTTCTACTAAATAGAAACCACTATAATCTTTGATGAATAAACTATAAGCGTCAATTTATGACAGTTCAAAATTTGGGTAAGAATACCTGAAAATCGAGTAAAATCCTTGCTATTGGCAACACTGTTATAAAAAAATATTTTTTTTTTAGCCAGGTTATCTTTTGTTTTTAAATGTAGCCTACAGACTAATAAAGATTAACAAAGCGAATAAACTTTGGAATTTTATATGCCTAAATGAGACTTAAATATTAATGGACCCACTACCAACACTTCATCCATTCTGAATACAATTTATAGCTGAGAATGTTAATTAGTGTCTCCAATTTTACTAAATATTTGCATGCAGTTGGTAATCTGTGAATCATCCCATATGACCATTATTTGATTTGATAATTCTCATGTAATTTTTTCCTGGCCACCCCAAGACCTTCATTATCAAACTTTAGCTTGAATTAAAAAATACATGACATTAGTTGATTTAAATAAATATGATGATGACAAAATCCAATTGATCCTACTGACAATTGTGAAGATAATTTAATCTCTGAATTAGATTTTTTTTTAATTATACATACTTTTCTTTTTTAACATTCTTCACAGATTATTTGTTTATTTTCAGTGACTTGGGTGCCCAGATTGATGGCTTTATTGCTGTAGTAGCTCATACAATAGTTGTAGGTGCGGCTAGTGAAAGCAAAGTGACTGGAAGAAAAGCAGATGTTATTCTAGCAGCGCATTATGCCTCACAGGCAGCTCTAAGGCTTCTGAAGCCTGGCAATGACACGTATGCTGTTACAGATGCTGTGCAAAAGGTGGCAGAATCATTTAAATGCAAACCTGTTGAAGGTAGAGTGTTTAATTATTTATTCAACATAAGTATAGCAAACAATACATTTAATTAGTCAATATGTTTGTGTGCACAATACAAAAATACTGAGTGGTAAGCGTTTCTTTTTATATAATACAACACCAAAGTCCGATAGACTACCAGTTTGTGTACGCAAATTACATTATTGTCAAGAACACAAACATATTGTATCTATAATATTAATTCAGCTAGTTTCACTGTCTCATACTATGTGCTTTGTGAATAATTATATTTATTTATGTTAGTGGTGCCCAGACAGTTGATCGAGAGAAGTCTAGGTCAATCACTGAAGATCCTATATTGTCCATTTGTCGTAATTCGCTCGTTCAGGCAGTGGGCCCTTGAGAAAAACAAAGAATCAAATGGGAAGAAACCCCGTAATAGTGACAACCTCAGAAAAAGTATCGTGCAAAGAGGATCTTTTTTACTCTTCAAACTTTAATTTTTGGTTGGTAGATCTTCATCGATAAAAGTATGGGTACCACTGATGTAGAGCATCCCTTTGAAGCTTTTAGCTGTCAAATGTAGATTTTATATTAAAAAAGCAAGTAGTTATTCCAACACTATCAAGATTTTAAATATTTGTTAATTTTTCTGTCCCAGTATTAAATAAAGTCTTATTGTACTTCATTTAAATATTATTTTATACACGGAATTGTCTTACTAAATACCATTTGAACACATACCAATTAAATTTGGAATTTATATTTTATTTAAAACTTTGTAGGTATGTTGAGTCATCAACTTAAGCAGTTTAAAATTGACGGCGAAAAAACCATAATTCAAAATCCAAATGATGCTCAGAAAAAAGAGCATGAAAAATTTGAGCTAGATAAACATGAAGTTTATGCCATGGATGTCTTGGTCAGCACCGGTGAAGGCATAGGAAAAGAAACTGATACTAGAGTGTCCATTTACAAGAAAACTGGTGAGCAAACATTTTAATGCAGCTCTATTTAAAAGAAAATATATAATGATGATTTAAAAATCCAATTGATCCTACTGAGAGTTCTGAAGTAATTTTTTATTCTGATATATCTATTTTTCTTATTAGCATTTCTTTTTTTTTTGTGGATATTTGTATAAAAATTGATAACTTTTTTAGATGAAATTTATCAACTAAAATTGAAGGCATCAAGAATGTTTTACACTGAAGTTAGGACAAAATATGGCAATATGCCTTTTAATTTGAGGAATTTTCAAGATGAAACTAAGGCTAAAATGGGAGTAGTGGAGTGTGTTAAAAATAAGTTGATAGAACCCTTTCAAGTTTTATATGAAAAACCAGGTAAGCCACTAAAGGGAAATCCAATTTAAAAATTTATCTTTTTGAATTTGGTTCCTTTCAATTATTCAAATAATTAAAACTTTTTAGGTGAACTTGTTGCCCATTTTAAATTCACGGTTCTCCTCATGCCCAATGGTCCACACAAAATCACAGGACTACCAGTTGAAACGGACTTATATCAATCGGAATATTCAGTCACCGACCCCGAATTGAAATCCATCCTTAACAGTTCTGCCAATCCGAAAGCAGCCAAAAAGAAAAAAAAGAAATCTGAAAGCTCCTCAGAACCTCAACCGATGGAAGTGGAAGCAGCTGCTTAAATGGATGACTACAAAAATAAATGAATTTCGGATTTTTATAAATGCTTTTTCATTTCACTCTTCATCTCCAGTGTTTTGTTTTTTAATCCACAGAAACCATAGGCGTTCTTGTATTATCTCAGCATTGTTGTCTGTCAGTTGTCATTTTTGAGACATTTTCACCTATCATTAATCATTATTCAATAAATACGATTTTGGATTAATTTTAAGTCAAATACCAGATCAGAAAAATAATCACTTAAAAAATTATTAATCAAAAAATTTAATTTGACCAGAAAAAAATTAAAAAATAGTCACTTCAAAATTTTGTATGATATAGAAAGACGAAAGTAGCAGGCATTTTTCAAAAAAAATTATTACAATTTTTGTTTTACTTATTTAAACCAGTGGAATAAAAAAATCGCACAAATAATTTTTAAAGGAAAATTACCACTGCCTCAAAATTTCTATCAACTGGTATTGGTGTGTTGACGAGTTAATATTGATTCTCCTTTGGAAAAAAATGTGTAAATCCTAAATTTGGTACAAATTTCTTTATATTACCTAAGTGTAAATTTTTATTTTAGATTTTTTTTAACAGTTTTGTTTCTTTTTATTATTTGATTAAAAATGTTAATATGTATGGCATTGTACTAAATTGTAGAATGCTGTAAAAAGCAATCAATAAATAAATGATTGGTATTTTGAATTTTTGTTTACATTTCACATAATTTATTTTATAAAATTCACAGCAACACAAAAATATGAATGAAAGAAGATAACGTGTAGTAAATAGTAGTTTGTGCAATACTGACAATCCACTAGAGTTGTACAGTATATTTTGTCTACGACTTATTAATGAAAATTACAAATTTTGAAAATTAATTTAGGCCATGAAGATAAAATAACTAACATGGTTATTTCATTTGTCACAGAAGCCAAATACCTCGGAGTCATTCGATCAAAGGCTGATGTGTAATCAACATCCCAAAAAAGTTATAATAATAATACTCTCCCTAATTCACCCCCTTACAAGTGAATTTCAACCCCTGAAGTCGACTGAACGACTTGTGTAGGGGAAGGGACGGCTATTATTATTATTTGCCGGGGCGACTTAAGGATGATTGATGGTGCCATTTGACTTACAGGTGAGGAAAACCTCACCCACCATCATTGAGACGATAATGTATGGCGATTTTATAATCTGCATGTCATATCAGCAGAAATTGAATTTCCATTAATACGGCACACATCAAATCCTAAACCGAACAATGCAATTTAATTAAAAATCCACATGGTCCGGTCTGGGATTTGAAGCCCAGCAGTCTCTGACTCATAAACTCGCCTATAAATGAATATAAGCGCGATAGACCGCTACACCGTCGACCCGATTATACAAAGCTACAATAGCTCTCGTAAGCTATGGAAGAATATGTGGGAAAAACTGGAGTCTAATAACTAAAATGACCATATGGGTTAAACACTAGGTGATAAGACCCATGATAACCTATGGCGCAGTGGCGTGGGTATCTAAAACGGCGCAGGCAAATGCAACTGCAAGCAATGGAGGAACTTTTTTTTATGTGGGAGACAAAATCTTCAAAAGACACCAACCCGTGTGTCCGGTAGTGTAGGACTTGTATCTACTAAAAAACCTCCCTTTACACCGCATTCACGCCCCAGAATCACTTTCGCATTACTTCGAGGTGGATGCTTACTGTTAAATATTTCTTGATTTTCTTCTTTTTCTCTTGTTCTCATGATTGTTACTATATATTCTATTATATAGTAACTTTCACTTTTAGTCATTTCCTCTATGGTGTTACTTTTTGCTATTTCGGCCCCTACTTTGCTCTCCATGATTGCTTTCTCTTCCAGCCGCCTGTCACAACTGAAAATGGTGTGTTCAGAGTCATCTCGTTCTCCATCGCAATACCGACAATCTTCTGAGGACACCTTATCGATGACATAAATATTGGTCCATGTCCACTAAGAAACTGGGTAAAGTAATATCCTACTTCCCCGTGTTTTCTTTCATACCAAGTTTCTATGTCTGGGTTTTGGGTTGTGAGCAATGGAGGTATTCTTAAACCTCACACCACTGCACATCTTCATACAAGGAGAAACCAGGTATGTTATTCATAGGCTAATCCAGGAACAAAACCAACTGCATAGTGCTGACCATACAAGGCTATATCAGCAAGTAAAAAGGATAAGATGAATGCGTACTGATATAGCCATAACCAAATACTGAAAGAAACGGACCTCCCGTACAGGCTGAACTCATGGTATACCAAGGAAGGAACCGGTGCGGGAATCTATGGATCCAAATCGAAAACAACGATTTCACAGAGTCTATGAGAATAAGCAACAGTGTTGGCTGAATTAATAGCCAAACAACACTGTGCAAGAGAAATATTAAATCGGCAAGTATCAGACCCAAGCAGCTCTAAAAGCTTAGATAAAAGAAACAACAGATGATGCATTTCATTCATAAAGTATGTTTTGTTTGGTCCCAATCATCGGAAAAGAGAAATAAGATATTTTATGCGGATCGAAAGAAGACAGACTGTAATCGAAAATTTCGTCAGGCAACGCTGCTGTTGTACGCAACTAAAAGCTTCGAGCATAACTAAAAGTCTGTTGATACCAGTGGCGTATCTTTTTTTTTTAATTTGGTGTCATCGGCGTCGACTACTACGGCCATATTAGCCTCGTGTTCTGTGTAGGCTTTGTTACTGTTTCCCAGCGCCACTTTAGGAACAGCACTGTTAATTAGAACCCAACAGTGAATGGTCAAGTGGGGAATCCTACAAAGGCATCAGAATTAATTTTAAATAATTAAATTAAATGAAAAAATCCCGGCCAACGGTGGGATTCGATCCTGAGACCTTGTCATGACTCTATAACCACTGAGCCAACCCACCCCCCGGCGTATCTTATTAAAGATAAAATCATTACTAATTATAAAAAAAATAATGAAATACTAACCGATATGGTGTGCAAAAAACTTTATAATGGTTTAAACTTTAAAACCGATTGGATTTGGTATAAGGGTATGAAGTTCAGTGGAATGTAGGTAAAAAGACAAAAAACAAGATAAATCAAGATTTATTTTAAACAAATTTACGAATTCAATTTTGGGGTTAATATTTGAACAGTTTTACAAATTGGTAAATGAGAGATTTTTAAATTAAATTTTAGATTTTAAACTACTAAATTTATAAAAGTTATTAGATCAATAAATTTACCATACTTATATACAAGGTGGGGATTTTAAATGGAACGCTTCTTATAGTGGATCTGGTATAAAGAATTTTGTAAAATCCGAAAACACGTAGAACTGTACAATAATAAACCCATACATTGATAGTTTTTAACTTGTAAAACTAGGTAGTAAACTAACTTACTTATTATCATCCATAAATGTGTGCGGCATAGAAAAATTATCTTCTGGTTTCTTACTAGAGCTGTCAAAAATACTGATACTGGAATCAGAGCTGTAACAGAGTATTCAGAACTTTCAATGTAAAGGTAAGTATACATTTTGTTTAATAAAGGTAGTTCATGAAAATAATCAAAGAAAGAGTCATGTAATATGAGTTTATAAAAAAGTTTGTCCTTGTTAAGCACCTACAAAATTTAAAGAACTTACAATATAAAAATTTCTTTATAAGATAAACTACCAACTTTCATCTTAAAGGATAAACACTTAAATGAACATTTCCGAAACATAATTAAGAAAGTTTTAGTTACCTAAATGAGCTTTCTCGGAACAATGAACTTAGTTTTGGCAGTCCTCCAGGCTTGAGATATTTGCTTTTTGAAGAATATCATTAGGATCAAAATGCTCAGAGCATAACACTCTTTTTTAGATACCTTCATTTTCTTCAAGTCCTACAAGTGATAGCCAAACATTTCTTGAATGCCTTTCAGTTAGGAATCTAAAAATCAAGCATAAGCATATTTATTTTACCACTATAGTCCAGACTAAAGTGTTTCTATTATTTACAATTTTTTGCGAAATTAATAATGTTAAAAAATCAAAGAAAATAATAGTAATACAAAAGTAGATAATACATGTGATATTACGGCAAAAATCTTTAAATCTACACCACTGAACTATGCAATACATCATCACCTAACCTTACTTACTTATGAAAAGATGCTTCAGCACCCACATTTTCCAGTTTTTTTTGCTCAAAATGCACTCGTGAACCATGTTGTTAGCTATACACAAGCCGAAATTTGTCCAAACAGTCTAAAGATTAACAAAAGCACCCAATATGCAACAATTTACTGGATCGCAACGTCGCCAACTATCGATGGATAAAATACTATACGTGACGTATATTATGAATGAAACAAAGTTATTTTAAATTGCGGTGGTGTCACGTTTAACGCTTTTAAAATCCTTGCATTTATTTGCAGGAATAATAATGGTGTTTGCCATAGTTTATCTTAGTATTTGCAAAGTTGTTATTTAGCAAGTGTATGTGTGTAAAAACGATAGTTACAAATAATGCCCTGTCTAATGGTGTAAAAATAGGTGCTGCTAAAATATCAAGTCTGCTGAAAGCAGTTAAAATAGATTAATCTACTTTGTACACATTTTATACGTTTTTTGTTTTGTTACAAGTCATTTTATTTAGAGATTTACTATTATAAATGTTTCGGGAAATATTGCAACATCTCTGCCCACAATGTGTCGGAGTTGGAAACACTGCACTAGGTACTAAAATAAATTGGTGGGGACGCTTGATGTGTCGCAATATATCTCGAAACTATTCTAATTAATAAAACTTGTTGCTATTAGTGAGTTATAGGTAAAAACTATTTTTAAATATGAAAGGGATAAACTTCACAGCCTGACAACAGCGCACCAGGAAACGCATGTCGGTTCATTTACGAAATAGCTACGCGCTACGTTTCTTTGCAATGTATGACCGGGTCTTAAATGTAAATAGAGGAGCTTTGTCTAAAAGCAATTATCTCACCAGAAAAATCATATGACGACTAGTGCAAGACTGCCTAGAAGACCTGGCAGAGCTAACTAGTCAAAACAAGGTGACCCTAGCCTGGGTGCCAGGCCACGAGGGATATCAGGGCAACGAAAAGGCTGATGAATTAACCCGAGAAGGCTCAGATAAGGCCGTGACAGGCCCCGAACTCTTCTATGGAGTTGCTAAGGCACTGTGCAAGGCATCCATAAAACAATGGATGTAAAAAGTCAGGAATGGTGGATCAACAACTATCCAAGACTGAAGACAGGCCAAACGGGCTAAGTTCACGAAAGACCTACTGGATCAAAAACGTCAAATTGTTGTAGGTTTCTTACCGGACACTGTCGCCTAAGAAGTCACATGACTGTCTCAATCTAACAGAAGAAGAAACTTTGTGCAGGTGCACGTTCTGTGCCAGTGTTGAGGCCTGGCTAGATTGAGGTTTCTAACATTAGGCAAAGAAAAGACAAACACATGGAACCACATTCTGGAGCCACTAGCAAGGCTACTAAGTCTAATAAAGACTAAGACGACATACTCTAACAAGTATTAAAAGTAATTTTATAAAAACCGACTTCAAAATCGTGCAGATGCCATCACATCTTG